CTGGAGGTGTTCAAGGCCAGGTTGGACGGGGCTTGGAGCAACCTGGGCTGGGGGGAGGTGTCCCTGCCCAGGGCAGGGGGTGGCACTGGATGAGCTTTAAGTTTCCTTCCTACTCTAAGCATTCTGTGAACTTCGGGAATATGTTAATAGTGTTTTAAGCACCTTCACTTCCTTCAGCAAAGTAGAAGAGTGCCCAACCTGTACTAAAGGTCCACTCCTGTGGTACGTTTGGCATCCTGTATTTCTGCTTGGCGGGTGAGAAGGGACTCTCTCCTTTCAGCCATCGTTTGGTTATAGTTGTTTGTTGGGCACGGGGTTATTGGCCAATCTGGGTTCCTGAGGTTGCTGTGTGGAGGCTGCATTACTCTCGAAGACAAGCGTAATGTGATTATTTTTCCTGTTATTTTTTCCTTCCCATGCTCAAGTGCACTGCTCGTTCTTGTAGATCATCCTAGGCAGAAGAGGATGGCTCTGAGACACGTCTTTGAGGGTCAAAATTATTTGACTCGTCCATCACCTTGGTCTTAGGCAAAGGTGGCAGAGGTTGCTATGCCTTCCAAGAACTCCTTGAAATCCCAAATTTTTACCTCCTGAGCTATCAGGTCATATGGGGCCATGATACCCTCAGGTGCTATTGTAAAACTCAAGGTAACTTCCGGTGAGAATTATACTTGTTTTGGAATCTAGAGAAATTTGTTATGGTATAATTGGGAAATTTAGAAATTATCAAAAACCTTTCAAAGCTGTGCTTTGGTGGAAAAGAATGAAGACCTTTTGCCTCATCTCTGTGCTACTTAAAAATAGGTTTCTGCCTTACCACGTAACAGTTAGATGAATTGCTTTTCAGACATCAACTTCTGCCCCCTCTCGTGACTAATCCTCTTTCCGGTATCTCTACCTCCACTCGGGAGCCTCAGCAGACTGCACCCGTAGGATTAGTACGTAATAGCCAGTGTCTGTATGCCGTTGAGTGGAAAAGTTGCTTCAAATCCATTTAATTCCTGATGGCTGCCCAAGGCAATCAATAGACTTGCCATGTCTACAAATAATCCCGGTAAATGGAGCTGCTCCATATTGCGGAGCTGCAGCCGTAGTCGGCAACACATCCAGTGCTGGTTTGACAGTCTACAGACGTCGGAATAAAGTCGCTCTCAAGGCTACTCTCAAGTTGTTTGCAAGAATTAAAAACCTCTTCTGGCTCCCGTGTGAGCAACTTTGGGCCACCTCCTAGTGGTACCTCTAGTTGTGATTGAGAAAGGATTTACAAGAGAAGATTGCAGTAGTGCTGTCTCGGCTCTATTTGTGTCTGGTCATTAGCTTTTACACGTTGCTAGACAATTTGGGAATGGAGGAAGGGAAAAAGGTGATGCTTTTCATTTAGCAAGGAGTGCTATATGAGCTGAGCTAACTGCAGCTTATTTATTCCGAGTAACATCAATAGCGCTCCCTTGGGAGGGTTCATACCTTTGGTGGAACTGAAGCAAATAAATACAAAACAGAAAGAAATCTAATATTTACCAATCCCCTTAAAGTCTTTCTTGTATGGAGAGGAAAGTGTGTGGTTTGAATAGAAAATTATAAACCTCCTGAAACAGAGGTGTGTGAATAATTCTTCTTTTTGGCTTAGTTGCCAAAGAGGGTGTGGGTAGATTCAGAGGTGGGTTAAACCAAACTTTTAATTTGTCTTTCTGAAGAAAATCACACAACGAAGGAAGCTCCATCCCCTTCCTGTCCAGCACCCAGAAAGCATAACAAAGTTTTTTCTACAGCTCGTGAATGGAAAGAGTAATTCCCTACTCTAAAGGGAACCTACATAATTCCAATAACTTTTAGAAATTTAAACTTAGGTGACATCAGTCCCGCACTGGGCACCAGCCTGAGCCTCACTGGCACTTGGTTTATGTAGTCAAGGTAGCGCAGCAGCAACAGGGATGGTGCAGAACTTCCATCCTGCTCGTAGCTGGGGTGGCTTCTCTGAAACGGGGGGTCATGGCCATACTCTTCACGTCAGCTTTCCACCCAGTGGAGCGGAACAACTGTTACTGAATGACTTTGGGGCTGGTGTGGATGTGGCTCTGTGGAGATGGTGATTGCTCCAGTGGTACTGAGCATATGTCCAACAAATGTCTTGTTAAGAAGCGTTTTTCTTATTGATGCAGACCAACTGCAGGGTTGGAGCCGTGGATGGAGGTCGATAAGGGGTCATGTGTGGTACTGCTGTATTTCAATGTCTTTTATCGCCTTTATTAGGCCAGCAACAAAGTGGAAGTGGATATGGAGAAGGCAGAGAGCTTACGTGTGACAAGGGGAGACTTCTTTGCATCTTTGGAGAATGATATCAAACCAGTAAGTACGCACCACATAACTCCTGTAATAGTCATCCGCTACAGTTAGTGACATGAAGCAGCAGCTTCCTTCTGGGATCAGACCTGCAGTGGTGCACTGTGGACTGGTGTACTGTGTCCTGTGTTGTGGGAATGAAGGTAGGGAGCTGCGTTCTGCCCGCAGTGCTAAGGCTCTGTTTTCTACCGTTTGTTGCGTGCAAGGATCATAAAAAGGAACAAATAAAGACAGCAACTTGGAATTTCTTCTCCTTGTCATGTGTAAACTTTCCCTTTTGGGCTACTTCAGTTAGTGGGCGACAGTTTTAATATGGACTGTAGGAGGACGTTGAAGCCTCATTTTTGAGAACTGTCTTTAAGTGGTGTGGATCCAGAACGCAGTGGCGACTTGCACTGATTAGAATTTGTTTGGAGAGTATATGGAAAGATGTTTCTAAATGTGCATCGTCCCCACCAGCGTTCGGTCCTTCCAACTGAAATGTGGTGTGTCACCAATGGGTCTCCCAGTACTGATGGTCTCACCTGAGCATCTTCCGCAGGCTTGGTCCTGCTCACTTTGGTGGTGGTGAACTCTCTCACGTTTTTCTGATGTGATGCAAAATTTCTCGGTAAAATAAATTTTCCCCCTCTTAATACAGGCGTTTGGAACCAACCAGGAAGACTATGCAAGCTACATCATGAACGGTATTATTAAGTGGGGTGATCCGGTAACAAGGGTATTGGATGATGGGGAGCTGCTTGTTCAACAAACTAAGAACAGTGACCGCACTCCTTTGGTTAGCGTTCTTCTAGAAGGTAAATTTAAGAAAAAAGAAAATTATGTGTGTGTATATATATATAAAAAACCTCAAGTGACTTCTGTAAACTATTCCTATCAGTTGCCCACGTGGTCATCTGTTATATCCTGCAACGGTACGTAAAAGAAACACGTGGGAGGAAAAATAGAGTCTGTCTCTTCCAGTTTACTTGGGTGAAATTGCTTTAGATATTAAAGTTGGATTCTCAGCCTGAGAGAAGTTTTGTTCTTGGAACAGTTGACAAGTGAACGTATCCAGGTAACAACCTAAGCGTGGATGTTTTACAGTGCAAACATCTCTAACTGAGTGAGTTGTCGAAATTTTCTTGGAAGTCACTGGAGTGTAATCAGTGTAATTAGCTGAGCTCAAACAGCAGTTCATCTGGGCACATTTAGGTGTCTGCTGTTAGGCGGAGGTGGATTGCCCTCCACCTAGGCTGTTAGTGACCACGGAGAGTCTAGGAAACTAATTCCAGTAGCTACGTTACAGATATTGGAGTAGAATTTGTTATTTAGTGCTTCCCTCTTTCTTTTCTTGAAGTCAAGCGATGTGGGTTACCGCTGCTGCTGAGCAGTCTGGAGCTTTGAAATGAACCTTGAACAGATCCCCTGAGTAACGCGGTGTGCTTGTGGCCAGCGTGTCGCTTGGATGCAATACCTTCTTTGTGCTCCAAATTGATTTGTCCTGGGGGGTAGATGGAGATGTGTCTTAGGGCTCTGAATTACTCTGGTGTGAATTAGGCAAATTACAAATCGTCTTTGTCGATATTTAGCTGGCATTCATGCTGTCCACTTGTTTACCACAGTACCTGCAGAAATCGGAGTTAGAGGTGACATAGTTCAAGAAGGTTCTCCAAAATACAAATGTGTTCTGGTTCTGGTGCAGTCCCGGTCCCACAAAATGTGGAATGCCCTCTTTTGTGTTGCTTTCGTGGCGAATCAGTCTGCACGCGCGCAGAGTTGCATCATTTCCTTCATGGGGAGGGCTGGATTGCACTGGGAGTTAGCGCGTCCCTTCAGCAAGCAGAAGAAAAGGTCATTTCAAAATGCAGATACCTCTCAATGAGATTATAAACATGCTTAAAGTATCATCTGTGCTGAGCTGTACCAGACCTGTTCTCTCCCTTGTCTTTTCATTACGTTCGTCCTTTGTTTCAGGTCCCCCCCACAGTGGGAAAACTGCTTTAGCAGCAAAAATAGCAGAAGAATCCAACTTTCCCTTTATCAAGATCTGTTCTCCTGATAAGATGATCGGATTTTCTGAAACAGCCAAGTGCCAGGCTATGAAGAAGGTACATACGCGTCCTACTCTTTCGCTTGATTGCAATCTGATTCTACGTTCTCTAGTGGACAGAGCAGTGAATTACCCTTGGGCTTATGTTTGCTGCTCTCTGTAGGTCCTAAATTCCCGTCCGTATATTTATTTGTAAAGCTGAATAGATGTTTTTGTGGTGCTGACATGAAGTGACTCAGGGAAAATTTCAAGGCTCTGTCGCGGTTGGGTCTGATGCGTAATCATGACTGGGACAAAGTCCCAGTGGGACAAAACACCTGGTCGGGGATGAGCAATCCGGAGCTCTGTCTGCAGAGACGAAGGCAGGAAGGGCTTCAGGGTCACACTTGGGGAGAATAGTTCCTGCCTGAAGGAGACTGGGAACAGTTTTGAGGTGGTAATGTTCAGTTCAATGAGTTTTAACAACTTGGGGAGCGGGGGGAATGCAAACAACTTGAACATCTTAAATCATTTCAAGTAGCCAGGAGGAAGGATGGAAGGAGATTTCGTTTAGTGGAGCACGCCAGCGCTCATCCTTCTAGCGGGATGATACCGAGCGAAGCACAGGAGTGAAATGTTACTCTGAGATCAGTTTGTTGCAGGATTGCATCGCTTCTAAGAGAAGCGACGTGCTCATAGCTGGAAGCCCAGTTTCTAATTTAAAAAGGAGCCTTTTGGACTTGAGTTGCACTGGCAGATGCCGGAGGCAGGCTGCAGTTCCACTGCCGTCCTTGGTGCTGCTCACAGTTTGAATCCAAAGCCCCGCGGGATGCTGCTTTGCTGCTCCATAAAGGGTGGTGCGGAGGCTCGATCCGTCCCCGAGTGGGTCTGTTCTCCCCGCAGTACGCTGTTAGGGAGAGTAACCGATATCCAGCCTGGGTAGAAAAGCTTCATCGTTGCATTACAGGTGTGGGGGATTTGTGTGCGTTACATTATCAGTATTGCCCCAGCTCCAAAACACGGAGGAATGATGCTCTGTTTTTTTTGTCCGTTGCTTACAATTCAGCGCAGGGCAGATGGCTTTTTTGCAAAGTGCGTGGGTAAATGAACAAAACTGAGCTCTGAATTTGTTGAGATGGCAATGTTTTACTAAATGCAGATGGAGTCTAGTCTCTTGGTGCTTATCGTTTTCATTCTCTGTTTCTTCTTCTAAATACTGCTGTGTTTAGCTAAAAACACATCAACAGGTCCTATCATGACTATTGTAGTTTTGCTGCTGAGGTTTAACGATGAGTCATTTTGCTGTTTTTTAGATCTTTGATGATGCGTACAAGTCCCAACTCAGCTGTGTTGTCGTGGATGACATTGAGAGACTTCTAGGTGAGTTAGGGCAACGAGAGCGAGCTGTGTTGTCTGCTGCGCAGAAATATTGAAATATTTGCAATATTGAAATACCGCAAACTGGAAATGATCTGGAACCGTTTACTTCGGGCGCCTTGAACTGTTTTTCATACCGTGAAGTGGCTTAAACGTGCATTTGCGTTTCTCATTTCAGATTATGTCCCAATTGGACCACGGTTCTCTAACCTGGTGTTGCAAGCCCTCCTTGTACTGCTAAAGAAGGCGCCCCCTCAGGTAAGAAAGGACCCGGGGGGCGAGATGCTCCATTCCTACCCTAATTTTGACAGTGGAGGGCTTTGTGCCTCGCTGATAGCTGCTGTGCTGCCGGTGGTATTAGTGCTATTGTCTCTGATTCAGGCAAGTTAATCCCAGCCTGCTGCTCTTCATTCGGTTAGACATTTCTGGGATAACCACAGAGGGATTCAGCTTTAATTATCTAATTACTTAAGGCTGAATCTTCTGCAGTTAGCTCTAGAAATACTCACTAAGGAAACAAGTTTAACCTTCACCGTGTAAAACTTGAACGTGCAAGCTGTCTGCTTTCCGATTAACTACGAACTGTTTCGTCCCGATCAATCCCCGGCTCAGCCACGCGCTCCCTCCTTACGTGGAAATGGATTTCTAAGTAACGTGTGATTGTGGATGTCAGGAGCTGAATTTGCTCTTAACTTGAAATTATCAGGTGTTAATTACAAGGGGTGAGGAGAGCTTAAGATCTTACATCTCATGCTGATCCCGTCTATTTGCACTTTCTGGCTTGATGAGGTTGAAGAACCTCACAAGTGATAGCGTTTCTGAAGCTTGCACTCAGTGAGAGAAACAGACAGGGACTCTTCTTTTTTTGTTTGCCATTTTTCCTGTCGTTTGCTGGAATTCTGCTGCATGTGTGAAAATATCTGCATGAATAAATAACATACTAACAGAAAAACCGTGAAAGTTGGTGTCAGGAAAAAGCAGAGAAGCACAACCTGGATGAATTCCATTTTTTTTTGTCATTTTTAATATCCTGGAAACAGTAACATATGCGTGAGTATTGTTGTCATTAGAGAGTTCAGTGAAAAGACCTTTCAAATGTAGAACTTTGAACTAAATTGTAGTGCCACAGGCCCTGAAGTTCCCCTTGTGACTGTCAACCTGGGAGAACAAAGATTTATCCCAGGGAGCTTTCTATGCTGTGTGCAGTCTCTAACATGAAACTTGGATTGTGTTATCGCCCGCGTTGGAACAGAAGGGCTGCAGCAGCACAACCATTTTTGATTGTCGTAATCTCCTTGTAATCACTGACCTATTGCTGGGTATTTCCGCAGTACCGGGAAACGATTGTTCCCAGAAACCAATAGGGGAAAACAGAACGTGATTTGGTTCAGTTGTCGAAGGAACTTAAAATACCACATTGCCCGTTTTATCGTTGCGGCCTCTGAATGTATTTTGCTGCTGAGATGCACTTTTGTTGGCACCCGCGTCTCCCTGAAAGCAGGATGCGGGGCTTGGAGCTCTCAGATATCTGCCAAGTTTATGCATGTTGCTGGAGATTTGTACTTTGCAATGTTTGAAATGCCCTTGAGGCTGGAAGACTTTGGGTTGACAGCCAATATTATGGTGACTTAAGCCATAAATTGTTGGAGGGTAAAGAGAGAGAGAGTTTTCTGAGGAAATGTCACTGTTTGATTGATGATGTGGTGGGTTGGGTTTTTTTCCTGGTGTTTTTTGTTTGTTTTTTTTTTTTTCCCCCCTTTCAGCAGCTCTGCTGATCGGGTTCTTCCTGGCCTGCTTGTTCCTTCCGAGTTCCCTGTGATAGTCACGGCATGTGGGGATTATTTTTTTTTTCGTTAAAAAAACCAACAGCGTGTAAGAGGCAGAGTCGTGCAGGAAAAGGCCTTTTCTGCTGTGAGTGTTAACTGTGAAAAAGATTGAATTTGGGCATGGAGACTCTTGGGGTTTTTAAGCTCAAGCGAGAAACCCACGAGGGAGATAATGCTGCCGGTTAATCAATGCCCTTCCGAGTTCCCTCTGCGATGAGTAGTTCCCTCGGGGAGCAATTTATTTGGAAGTAATGGCTGGTTTCAGGGCTTTTGTTGTGATTTGAGATGCAGCTACGTGCTTTAAATGTACAGGAGTAGCATCGGTGGTGCCAACCTGCTCCATGAAGCCAAACCAACACCAATTTCGGTGGGGTTGGGATCGTAGTTTAAGTTCATTCCTCATAAAAATGGAGTGTCCTGGGACGTGCCAGCCATATCCCCGCGCCGAGAGAAATCGTTGGCAGGATGCTGGGGAGGCAATACCTGTTCTCCATTGCTGTCGGGTTCGCTCTTGACCGTTTCAGTGGTCAGAGGGACCCGAAATACAGAGCCGATTTGCAAAGCTTAGGAACAGGGACCGGCGAAGCGGTTGACGCAGCACGCGAGGAGGGAGTGGGAAGCGGAGGGCGCGTTTCGGCGGTGCAGTGCCGCGGCTCCCATCTTTGTGGCCCAGATTATGTATTCACCCAGTGTTGTCACATCACTTGCAGAGTGCAGGCGGCTTCCTACAGTTACTGTAGGCTACGTGTGTAAGAGGAGCGTTTCTGGGATGAAATCTTATTAATTATGCATTGAGGTGTGTGTCTCTGTCGAGTTGGTTTATGAAAGCTGCCTCCCAGACTCCCCTCTTCGTGTTGAGGCTGTATGATTTTAACGTGGGGTGGGAAGGGCAAATGCTTGAAGCTTCGGGCTCTCTGGCTTGTTTGTACTTTGCAAAAGTTTTGAGAGTAAACACGTTAAAGAAACTAGAAGCATCTCTGAGTTTGCTTTAAATTCCCGGTCACAGCTCACGCTTGTTCCACTCAGCAACGCTTAAATAGTGGTATCTGTTACTCCTAGCTCAAGAAGCCTGAAAAACATTACATTTTGTTTAGCACCTTTTTTTAAACCAATTAAAAAGCTTTTCTAAAATGGATTGAAGAGAAGAAAATAAACCATGTTCTCTTGGGTCTTTATTTCAATGGAGTTTCCCTGTGTTGTGCAGGAGAAGAGGCTGGGGGGGGATAGAAAGACTGAAAAGGAATGTCGCAGCAGGGAGCCAAGCGGGAGAAAAGGACTTCTCTGAGAACTAAGCAGCAGCAGCTCCGCAAGCCGAAGCTGCTTCATCTACATGCAGAGTCACACAAGGCATGGAGACACTCACCAGCCCCACAGAGGTTTCACATGTGCTTCCCTGCTGGTTCCTGTGAAAAGCTAACAATCGGCTCAAAGGGGGAAAGACCATCGCAGCATCCCCGCGCTAAGCTGGACGTACAATTTGTGCAGTGTTATGAAAGGTCCGGCTTAGCGAGATGCTCTCGACCACTCTTGTGGATGCCCTTCCGCTGCTCCCGGAGGCCCCCGGCCCCTCTCCGCTCTGGGGCGCTGGAGCCTTTTGCCGGTTTATGAAAGTTGACGGGGGGAGAAAGGGGGGAATTATCTCCTTGTTCGATATAATCCCAGATGCATTCCGGATTCCACGTCATTTGGTGTGAGTTGGAAGCAACTCCAATCAACGGTGCCATTACGTTTATACTTGTAAACCCGGGGAGTTGTGTTTTCTCCCATTACGCGTGAAGAATTGTTGCGACCCCAAAACACGCACGTGAAGGTATAAAAGGGTCCAAAGTTGAGTGAAGAGCTGGTGGGTGACTGACAGAGGCACCTCGGGGTCCACCAATCATAGAATCGTAGAATGGTTTAGGTTGGAAAGGACCTTGAAGATCATTGAGTTCCAACCCCCAATGCTTCGTTACAGTATAGGTCAAGCTCCCCTCAGCTCCCCTTGCCTAGGGCTGGTTAGATTTGCTGAAATTTGGTGATTTGGTACTCCCCTGACGCATGGAGGCTCTATTTGCTCGTAGCAGAGTCTATGTAATTCTCTTGTGTTCTAGTTTGTCTTCAGCAGTCAGTGCAATAATGTGGTGCCCGTTAGGAAGTGAACACTGTTAGAGGAATCCATCTCATTATGCTTGAAAACGTGATCGTTTCAAAACTAATTCTTCTTTTGAGCTTTGAATCCCGTAGTTCTCTGTATCATTACATGCTCTATTCAGATAAAATCCCCATTGTAGAGAGGTGAAATCTGGGGTTACCTCACTTCTAGAAGGCAGCGGGGCAAGATGCGCACCTCTACTGGGTATCCCCCTGTCAGTAGAGAGGGATCTTGGGCTCCCAACTGGGGCGTTCGCTTCGCCTAAAAATGGGCAGGATGAGCCCAGACTGACGTGAGGTGCCCGTTCAACAAGGCCAAGTGCAAGTCCTAACGTCTGGGTTGGGGCAATCCCAAGCACAAATCCAGGCTCGGTGGGGAATGGCTGGAGAGCAGCCCTGAGCAGAAGGACCTGGGTGTGCTCATTGACCAGAGGCTCAACATGAGCCAGGAATGTGCGATCGCAGCCCCAAAGGCCAACCGTACCCTGGGCTGCATCACAAGAAGTGTGGCAGCAGGGCGAGGGAGGTGATTCTGCCCCTCTACACCACTCTCGTGAGACCCCACCTGGAGTACTGCATCCAGCTCTGGAGCCATCCACATAAGAAGGACATGGACCTGCTGGAGCGTGTCCAGAGGAGAGCCACGAGGATGATCCGAGGGCTGGAGCACCTCTCCTATGAGGAGAGGCTGAGAGAGTTGGGGCTGTTCAGCCTGGAGAAGAGGAGGCTCCGGGGAGATCTTATTGCGGCCTTCCAGTCCCTAAAGGGGCTCCAGGAGAGCTGGGGGGGGACTTTTTACTGGGGCATGTAATGATAGGACGAGGGGGAATGGCTTCAGACTGGAAGAGGGCAGGTTTAGATTAAACATTAGGAAGAAGTTTTTCACTTTAAGGGTGGTGAGGCACTGGCACAGGTTGCCCAGAGAGGTTGTTGAGGCCCCATCCCTGGAGGTGTTCAAGGCCAGGCTGGACATGGCCTTGGGCAACCTGGGCTGGTGGGAGGTGTCCCTGCCCAGGGCAGGGGGGTTGGAACTCGATGATCTTCAAGGTCCTTTCCAACCTAAACCATTCTGTGATTCTGTGTATGTAATCTCTGTTGGCGGAGTGAAACTGCCGCTGGTAACGAGCCTGACACCAAATGATCTTAAGCTGTTGAAAAGCCAAGTTCTGACTTACTTGGTAGTTACTCTCTTGTTATACCTGATTTTTGGAAATCCAGCTTGAACCCTGATCTTCCATGGCCTGACCACAAGGCAGGTTGCCTTTGCGATGGCGGCTGTAGAAATGAAGGATCAAAAAT